ATAAAATGTATTATATAAATATATTATACAAAATATGTTCTATATTATATAATATATAATAAGATAAATAATATATTACATATTATTATATAATATGTATGTACAATATGTTTATATATATATCATATATATAATAAAATAAATCACTCTGAGGACTTCTACAAGAATATTAGGTGAGTCTATTATACCAAAAAACATGCAAAGGTAATACTACACTGTGTGTAATACTACCGACATGGCAGATCTCTCTGATTTTGCCCTTCTCTGGGGAGTCTCAGTGAAGTTCAGGCTCTCCTCTCAGGGAAGCCAAATATGGCCAGGGCAGAAGAAGTCACGGCACTTTATCCCATACTACTGTTCTTGAAATTTAACTTGCTCACACAAGGTGTGGAATTCTGATTTTGATTTTTATTTGTAAAATGGCAAATTTGTCTTCCACTTTGAAAACACAACCAGTTTGTTCTATGATTTCAGTGTTTGGGATATGCGAGGTCAGTTTTTTTGAGCCTACAAGTATGCATCTGAGACAGATAGTCAGTATTAATGTGGCTCTGCTTTTACTAAAATCAAGCATTCAGTTCTAGTGACTAAGCATTCAATGAGACTTGAGGTTCTTTCTTAATGTAAAATGATAGGTCTGAGATATGTAATTACCCAACTATACTCTCCACCAAAGCTTTGAAACTAGCCCAATTTTTCTGATTGCAAGATTAGAGTCATATTTATATCCAATGCTGTGTAGATGTTTAAGTGTTTGGAACTAGGATAGATTTATTATACAAAGGAAGATAGCCACATTTAGATATAAATTAATTCAATTGAGTAGGTCTTCTGATTTAAATTAAAAATACTTTATATCTTTTAGAGTCAACTTGTACATCAAACAGTTTTCTGTAGTGTGTAAACCACAGTGCTAGAGTCACATGCCTTATTAAATTACTTTCAGAGCCAGGGATTTAGCTTAGTGGATCTGCCACCTACCTCGCAAGTGCAAGGACCTGAGTTTGATCCCCGGTACAAAAAAAAAACAAAACAAAACAAAAAAAAAAACTTTCAACCTAAAAATTTAAAATAGGAACAGCATATTTTTTTGTGATAGACAAATGAATATATGAAAGTTACATTCAAAAAGTAAATATCTGTTGGTAACTATTAGAACCTTAACATTTCAGAGCTGGAAAGAGACTTTTCATGAGAGAGCAAAGGATTTTGCGGTCCTATGCAAAGGAAGAATACATTCTTAGCTGCAAGGCAGGTGGCAGAACCACTGAGCTAAATCCCCGGTCCAGCTAAGGGAATTTTAAGGTAAACACCCCAACTGCAAAGAACTGTTACTTCTGGGTTAAAGTGAACCGTCTGGTTACTGTAAATTGTACATGGGTAAGGTGAACGGAGGAAATGAAATGTAACCATCTGAATGAGATCAAGGCTGTAAAACCTTTTTTTTTTGGTTTTTTGAGACAGGGTCTCACTATGTAATTGAGTCTGACCTGGAACTCACTATGTAGCCCAGGCTGGTCTCGAACTCACAGTGATTCTCCTGCCTCAGCCTCCCGAGTGCCGGGATTACAGGCGTGCGCCACCACGCCCAGCTTGTAAAACCTTTAAAAGGGGAGCTGCAACCCAACAGGAGGTCCATCACTGGCACTGCCTTTTTGAATGCGATCGACCCTTTGCCGGCAGAATAAACTTTTTATTTTTTTACTTCCATTCAGCTTGTCTCTGCGTGCGTGTCACATGCCGATCCCTTCCACAGCAGACTTTATGCCCATCAACAAAAGAATGGATAAAGAAAATGTGGTGTTTGTACATAATGGATAAACTTTGCCATAAAGAAGGATACATTTCAGGCATTTATGCGGAAAATGAATGTATCGTAAGACCATAATGTGATAGGAAATTAATCAGGCACGTGGGCTTAAACATCACGTTTTTTTCTCACGTGAGGTAACCAAAATAAAAATAAAAAGCCAGAAAAGAAAAAAGTTAGTAGAAATAGGGAGATAGATGTTTTGGAAAAGGGAAGGAGACCAAGAGGTGAGGGAGGGAGAGGGGAAGGGCATGAAAAAAAGAATTAAGATGTGTTTATCGTACCGACTCCCCACAATGAACGTACTCATAATGCACCACAATATGTACTAATACAAATAAAAACTTTAAAGGATTAAAAAAAACCAACCAAAATGTATCACATGTCCGCTGTGGTTTTAAAAAATAAGAGTATTGCTGGGGATTTAGCTCAGTGGTTCTTCCGCCCACCCTGCAAGCACAAGGTCCCGAGTTCGATCCCCGGTACCAAACAAACAAACAAACAAAAACTGAGAGTATATTCCTCAATGCAGTGATTCTTTAAGGTTTTGAATGAAAAGTAAAATTGTGAGTCAGCTCTTGGAAAAAAAAATTACAGGGCCAGGTACAGTGGTATATACCTGTAGCCTGGCTACTTGGTAGGCTGAGGCAGGAGGATCAGTGGAGTCTGGGCTTTCAGGGTTGTAATGTACTATGTTAAGCAGGTATCTGCACTAAGTATGAAGGATGATCGAGATATACAGTGAGTGTTTAAATTTTTAAAAATTTTATTAAAAAACTTGAAAGACACATTGCCAGACTCAAAAATAGGTTGTAAGTCAGACACAAAACTAGGTTATCTTGAAAGAATGAACCTTGCTAATTTGCCATAAAACAAATGCAATAAAAACTTCATTTGGGTACTGGGGTGATGACTCACACCTGTTATCTCAGCACTCAGGAGGTTGAGGTAAGAAGATCACGCAAGTTCAAGGCCAGCCTGGGCTACATAGTGAGAACTTGTCTCAAAACAAAACAACTATCATTTGGAGGTGATTGGTGTTTCAACGTCATAACATCCTCACAAGTTGAACTGAAAGGCAGCTATTAGATAATCTCGTCCAACCCTATCATCTCACAAGTGAGGAATTATTATAAACTCAGGTCGCATGGCCTGGCCCAGGTCACACAGCCACCACTGGCTGACTACATGGAGCCTTGGGTGGGGCTGGGTGGATGAGGAATCCTTTGCTCTTTCTCTTCCGTGCAGAGATTTTATGTCCAACCCTATCATCTCACAAGTGAGGAATTATTTTAAACTCAGGTCGCATGGCCTGGCCCAGGTCACTCGACTACATCGAGCCTTGGGTGGGGCTGGGTGGATGAGGAATCCTTTGCTCTTTCTCTTCCGTGCAGAGATTTTTTGTCAGTCTGGCAAACTGTTCCTTCCTTCAGATGATTGCCTTTTATTCTTTAACTTGTGTTTGTTTTGTCAGCTTGTTGGCACGGGGACCCGCCAGGCTGCTGCGGGCCCAGTGGCTGCCCCGCCCTCTGGGCTGGGAATAGCTGACCCCAGAGCTCGCTCACGTGACCGTCACAGCTCCCAGTTCTGTTTCTTGTCCACAGCCGGGTCGGGGCCCTTGTAGGGCTGCTTCTGCGAGGAGCAGAGGTAGGCACCAGTTCTGAAAGTCCGCCGTCGGAACGGCGGGAGGGGACACCAGGCGGGCAGTGAAGTGAATGTGGCAGCTCAGATACCAGGCTCTCCACTCTGGTCCCAGGCTCTTTAAGCAGAGGAAACAGAAAGCGACTGGCCTCAAGTTGTCCCACCCAGTCCCTCCTGAACCTTTCCTTCCTCTGTCCCCTACTTCACAGAAGGCTGCTCTGCCCTTCCTCCCTCTCTGACCTTCCTTCCCCGCTCAATAACAGACCTTTTCCCCTTTCTCTTGCTGATTTAGCAGCACGCTGCAGGGAGTGGAGAGATTAATCAGTGACCGAGAAGCTGTCTTGCGGGGAGCGGTGAACTGTTTGATCAGACAGATCTTTGTAGGACTCAGCCCCAGCAGTTTCTCCTGCTCCCTGCCTGCTGCCCATCCACCTGCTCCTGCCATGGGGAGCCTCGGGGCCTTCCTCTTCCTGCTGGGGGCCCTGGAGGCTGTTGCTGAGATCTGTGGTAAGTAGCCATTGATCACATTCCTTTTCCTCCTGGGTTTCAGGGAGAAATGACTGTCTTTCCAAGACCCTCCTTATCGATCTGGGGAAACAGACTGAGAGGTGCAATGGGGGAATTTATTTACCCCTCTGGGCTTCAAAAACAGTTCGGGTTTATCTGGACTTTAATGTTTGGCCCTTTGTGGTGAGATTAGTTACATGCCTGACTGCACCAAGGCAGTCGGACAAGATCAAGTCAGATTATAGGAGGGGATCATGGGCTCCCCTGTTTATTCAGGTATGTGTTTGTTTATACACCCAGCACCGTGAGCTGTGGCTTCTCTGTGCCTGGCTCAGCATTAGGCTCTGGAGAAAGAACACAGGGTAGGGCCAATTTGATCTCTGTCCTCCTAGAGTTTAAATCCTAGGGAAGGGGGTGGGTAAAAGAAATCAAGTTTAGCTGGGCATGGTGGGACACGCCTGTAATCCCAGCACTCGGAGGCCGAGGCAGGAGTATTGCCGTCATTTTGAGGCCAGCTTGGGCTACATAGTAAGTTCAAAGACAGTCTGAGTTAACTGAGTGAAATCCTGTTTCAAACAAACAAACAACCCCCCCAAAAAGAAATCAAGTTTCCGAATTGTGTTATAGCTGTGCGTGGTGGCGCATGCCTGTAATCCCAGCATCCGGGAGGCTGAGGCAGGAGGATCGCTGTGAGTTCGAGACCAGCCTGGGCTACATAGTGAGTTCCAGGTCAGTCTCAACTACATAGTGAGACCCTGTCTCAAAAAAACCAAAGGTTACGATGAGTGCCGTAGGAAAAGCCAACCTGGAGTGGAATGGAAGTAGACAGTGCCAGGGGACCACCAGTCCAAGAAGGACTTGGGAGACCCCCACGGGAGCTGAGACCCAAAGGAGGAAAATAACCAGTGAGGAATAGAGTGGTGACCACATTCCAGGCAGAGAGGTGAGTGCTCAGAGACTCCACCTCTGCTTGTGTGTTGTGGGCTTGCAGCTCTCAGGACCTCTGGAGACCTCTCTGCCTCGGTGCATAGCTCAGGCTCACTTGCGCACCAAGACAGGCAGGGCGCAGAAAGCAGGCCTTAGCACCCTGACTGCCCACGTCTGTCCTTCCCTCCTTTTACCGAACACATATGTGTCGGGAGGAACCTGAGAGGCAGATGCAGGCATCAGATAAAGAGGTCAAGGCTCAGACAAGCCAAGTAACCTGCTCCAGGTGTTCCAGCTGCACTAGACCTTTGGAAGGCCAAGGTCTTCCCTGGGTACCAGAATCTTCTGGCCTGTGTTCCACAAGGGCAATCGGGCCCCCTCAGCCCTGAGTCCTTGAGTCTTGTCCAAATGGTCCCCAAGGGGGACCAGAGTTGGGCCAGTCACAGCTTCCCCTCCTGCCTACTCGGCCTGCTTGGTCCTCAGACTGACAATCGGCCCGTATGTTCGTTACTTTTCTCTTGGTGCCGAGACAAAAGTTAAGTTCGTAGAGTTTCAGTCCATCATCAGCCGACTCCAAGGCAGGGTGACACACAGGCAGGGCAGAGCAGAAACAGCACAGCATGCACAGGTAGCAAAGGTGACAGGAGGTTTTAACAGCATCTTTCTGCCCCTTTTATCTTGCTCAGATTACCATGATGAGAGCAGTGCCAAACTAGTCACTCACATGCAGAGTTTAGCAGTCACACGCCCTTAACCCCAGCATCGCACATTCCAGATTCACCTACCTCGTCTGTATGGGCTGTGGCGGGGGTGGGGGGGCACATCGGAATACAAACCGTAGCAGCCCGATGGCCTGACCGCATGAGAGTCCCCATCCTTGGGTCCTGAACCTTGAACCGGGACCGAGGTGCAGCCTGCTGCTGCTGAATCCATTATTCGTTCCCAGCCTCATTCCCTCCTTCATAGAATGCACTGAGCACGTTTCCCTGCCTTCCTCCTCGTTGTGATATGGGGATCCCACGGCACCTGCTTTATCCTTAAATCTCTGTGTACCTGTTGACCCGACAGGGATTGCTGCGCCAGTGCGAAAGCAAGTAGGCTCCTCCGCTTGTGAACGCTGGTGCCAGTTAATCCTCAGCTGGCAGAGCTGGGTGCCCTGAGTGCAGGAGGCACCTGAGAACAGGAAGCCATGGTGAGAGTACAGCTTGCTTGCAACCACTTTGTTTGCTTGTTTTTTGAGACAAGGTCTCAATATGTAGCTCAGACTGGCCTTGAACTTGCAGCAATCCTCTTGCCTCAGTGCTGGGATTGCAGTCATGCACCATTATGGCCAGTGTGAGGCCGCTTCCCAGGTTGTTCTTTCTTTTTTTGGGGAGGGGGGGTTGAGACAGGGTCTCACTATGTAGCTGAGACTGCCCTGGAACTCACTATGTAGTCCAGGCTGGTCTCGAACTCACAGAGATCCTCCTGCCTCAGCCTCCCGAGTGCTGGGATGACAGGCGTGCGCCACCACGCCCGGCCGCAGGTTCTTCTTTCTAAAGAAGTTAAACTGTGGTTATTAGCCTCCCTTTACAGCTGCCTCCTTTGCACGTTTAACCCCAGCTGACTCATCATAGTGGAGATCCGAGCCCAGGGTGGGGACAGAGGGCCTCTTCATCATTTTCAGGATGGAGAGGAGAAGAGATGAAGAGAAACAGGTGATCAGATTGTCAAAGACAGAGACAGCAAGAGACAGGGGCTAGAGAAATGGAGACAGAAGCCAGGTTGGGTGGCGCACGCCTGTAATCCCAGAACTCAGGAGGCTGAGGCAAGAGGATTGCCACAAGTTTGAGGCCAGCCCAGGCTACATGGTGGGTTCAAGGCCAGCCTGAACTACACAGTGAGAATCTATCTAAAAAAAACAACAACAAAAAAAGTGGACACAGACCCCGAGAAAAAGCAGTCCTCCCTGGCTCTCTTTATAAAATTAGCTGAGAAACCACCCACATGTTCTGGCCTGGCCTCACACAGCAAAAAACCATTTAGGGCTATACACGAGTGAGTGGTCACCCAATAGTAACAGGTAACTGTGGCTTTTGGGAAAACACGTAAGTTGGTGGGATCCAAACTTAAAGAGATGGGACTGTGTTCTAGGATCCTGGTCCTCTTGCCAGGAAGCCCAGGAGGCAGCAAAACACTTCGCACCAGTTCTTTTCCTTAGTCCTTGGGGGTGGGCAGGCTGTGCGGGGGGTCCCGCCTGGCCTTCTGGGAGGTGGCACAGTGGAGGTCACCACTGTCCGTGGGAAGCTGTAGCTGGCAGTGACTGAAAAGCACTGAGGCAGTAAGAGGGGCAGAAAAGTCCAAAGTGTGTCCATGCCAGCCTACTCCCAGTGACCCTGTGCTGAGCTCAGGTCCCTTTCCCAGGGCAGGAGTAGTTCACGAGAGCTGGGAAATAACCCAGGGTCTTCCACTTCCAGATTATTCCAGTGTCCTGGTAACACAGTTCCAAGTAAATTCCACAGCACAAATGGATCACTGTAGCTGGCCTTACAATCTCAGGCCGTTTTGACTTAAACACGGAGGTAGCATGGCAGGGAAAGCATCATTTTGAGATCCCCATGGAGGAAATTGACCAGACAGCCCTGGTGAACCAGCTAGTGCTTTACAGTGTTTGGAAATCGGATGCATCACAAATGCTGGATGTGGCCGAAGTTCTTGGCTTCTTCCTCGGCTCCGCAGCCTTGTATAAGGCTCAGTGTGACTTCGAACTCCTGTTTCCTCTTTTGTGCAAAGCAACAATGATAGTATCTGCATTGCAGGTCTTCTGTGGGGGCCAAGTGAGATGGGGTGCAGGGCCTGTGGCACAGCACATGGCTTGATGTCCAACCCGTCACTCCTGATGAGCGGGGCAATCGCGTCCTTTTCCCTCAGCCCACCGCCTCTTCCTGCCCCGCTCCAACTGCTCTTTGGAGACATCCGCTTTCCTCCTTTTTTCACCACGTGTCAGAGTAGCCACACAAGTCGGGTGTCCATGTGGGGAGGGTGGGAGTAAGGAGGTTTATTCTTTGGGGAAGGCCCGGGCAAGGTCAACCAGTTGCTTGCTACTGGCCTGGCCGCCCCGCTTATGTGCAGTGTTTTTGTTTTTAAGTCACACCACGGATGGACAGTCAGCTGGTGGTGAAGCTTGGCCAGTCCCTCTTGCCCCGGATGGACCAACTCTCCCGGGAGAACCTGAACCCCAGCATCTATGTGGGCCTGCGCCTCTCCAGCCTGCAGGCTGGGACCAAGGAAGACCTTTACCTGCACAGCCTGAAGCTCGATTATCAGCGGTGCCTCCTCGGGTATTGTTGTACTCTCTCTTCTTTCCCCTTGTTTTGCTCCACATCCTAAGAGACAGAAGATGGTTCTGGCGTGGGCTTTGTCGCCAGACATCAGACAAATTTTGTCTTTTGTGAAGCTTTCTCTGTCTATAGAATGAAGGAGTTGGTAGGACAAAATCAGAGATGCTAGTACAGGACTTTTATGTGGCTATTGCACTTTTTATATCTGAGGCAGACGTCACTAATCCATAACCACATTCATCCTGAGCCAGAAAGCAGCTCTTGACTCTGTTTCCCTCTTGTGCATGAAGCAGCCATCACTAATTCATGACTGTATTCTCCCTCCCGCCCCGTACCAGGAATCAAACTCAGGACCTTGTGCTTGCCTGGCAGGTACAGCACTGCTGAACCAGATTCCCAGCCCCGGGACTGTTCTTGCACTGAGCCCAGAAGCAGCACCTGTCTGTGCTTCCCTTTTGTGCGTGAGGCAGGCATCACTAATCTATGACTATACGCTTTGATCCTTCCTGTGAACGAGGCAGACATCACTAATTCATAACCGCATATTTTCATACTCAGCCCAGAAGCAGCATCTTTCTCTTCTCTTTCCAAGGAGCATTAAGGAAAGGACTGTTGTGGTATTTGAATGAACGCTGAAGAATGAAGAGCATAAGGGTGAAGCATAGCCGAAATACAGGGCACGCCCAGTTTGATCTGAATGCTGGAGAGTTTCTCCTTGAACTTAATCTTTCATCTTTTAAAAAACACCCATGCATGACATATATCTCACAAGAGCATAGCTGGCCACACCTTACTTTTGGATGTTCTGCAAAAAGTTTCCAACTATTAGCATTGTTTTCTACTTTGTGATGTGTGTGGGGTTCCCCAGGCCAGGCTCACCAAAGAGTTAACAGTTCTTTTCTTTTTGGCACCGGGGATCGAACTCAGGTCCTTGCGCTTGCGAGGCAGGCGCCAGAACCACTGAGCTACATCCCCGGCCCTAGGTAACGGTACTATTGGCCTTGTCCTAGGCCTGCCACCAGTGATGACGCCGGTGACTGCCAGACCAAGCCTTCCATGGGCCAGCTGGCCCTCTACATGCTTGCTCTCAGGGCCAACTGCGAGTTCATCGGGGGCCACAAGGGGGACAGGCTGGTGTCACAGCTCAAGTGGTTCTTGGAGGAAGAGAAGAGAGCCATTGGTGAGGGGATACCATCTGCTGGGTATGGAAAGAGGCTAGGAGGGCTTGTCAGGTGATATTCTTGGTGAGAACCAGAACTTTCGATTCCCACACCCCCAGGCCTCTTTCCTGCTCTTTATTCTACCTATCTCACTATGCACCTAGGTGTTCCTGCCTGCTGCAGTGAGCGTGCTGGATCCAGCCTTTCCTGAACCCATCCTGTGCACTCTGTTAGCCAGTCCTGATCTCAGCTACCTAAACTGGACACTCTTCACCTTCTGGGACACCTATATACCTCCTTGACTGCTTACTCCTTAGCTTCACTCACTTTCTGGCCTCCAGACGTTACCCAGCACATAACAGCCAGCGTGAGGCTCTTCAGTATAAATTCTGTCTTGTTAGTGCTGCCTGAATACCACAGGGGCCCCTCACTTTGTTAACAGCCCTCAGGCCCATCCTGTCTGCCCTTTTATCCTCCCTAGGCTCTGCTCTGCTCATCCTCTCACCCACCCTGCTGCGGGCATTGAGCACACTGGCCGCTCGGCACACAAGCCAGGGTCTTCATACATGTTTCCTCCGTCCTCTTCTACCTCATTCCTGCTGTGCTTTTTCCTCTCCTCATCCCCAGTGTTCCTTCCTTGTAGAATTCTGTCCTGATTCCTACCTATTCAAAGACATCTGTCCTGTGACTCCAGGGACCTTGGGCTACACATTCCAGTTACAAGCATGCTCGGGTGGGCAGGAGCTGCATCGCAGTTGGAGGTCCCCGGCCTGCCATGCCCACTGCTACCTCCGAGCTGGTGCCTGATATGCAGTGGGACCTCAGCAAGCACCAGTTGAGGCAGTGAAGCATCTCGTGCTCCGAGGAAAAGCTGTACTGGGGAATGAAAGCAATGGAGTCTCACGGGCTGGGCGCTTGCTGGGAGTGGCAGAGACAACCCCAGAAGGCCTGGTGTACAGCATGCCCACCCCTCGGCCTTCTCCTTTCCAGGGCACAATCACAAAGGCCACCCCCATACCAGCTACTACCAGTATGGCCTGAGCATCCTGGCCCTGTGCGTCCACCAGAAGCTGGTTCACGACAGTGTGGTGGGCAAGCTCCTGTACGCTGTGGAACACGACCACCAGGACCATCTCTCTGTGGGTGAGTGGGCCAAACCCTGCTGTGGCCAGGCCAGCATTCCAGCAGCCATGCACACCCTGGCGGACACTCACCTTTCCCTGAGACCCCTCCCTATCGAATCTCTTAGGAGGGAGACAGGGAGGGAGCCGATGTGGGGGGCATTGACTGTGGTCCTGACCCGAGCTGCAGCACACTCACTGTGGGACCTCCTGAGCCAGTCAGGTGGCCTTGCCTGGAAAATGACCTCCCAGCAGCTAGCAATAACGGATGCCTTACGAGCAAAGGACCTGGCTCCTGCCTGCAGCGACAAAGCTCTGGGCGCGGGGCAATGTTCTCAGCACTGTACAAACCAGGACGTCTGAGAACTACATTCGGGATCTGCTTCCTTGCACGTGACCTTGGGCCACAGTTTCCACTTCTGGTCATTGTCATTCAAGGTCTCTTCTAGGCCTGACATCCTACGAACGTATTCTTTGCACAGGGTGGAGCAGGGTGGAAAAAGTGGAGCGGGTAGTTGTCCGGAGAACAGCATTAGGGCCCTTGCCAGCAAGGAGATTGTACTGCCTCAGAGCTTTGTGGAAATACCACTGTGGAGCCGGATGTGGGAGGCTAAAGCAAGAGGATCACAAGTTCAAGGCCAGCCTGGGTAACTTAGAAAGACTTTGACTTAAATTACAAATGAAAAGGGCCGAGGATGTAGAGCTCAGTGTGAAGGCCCTGGATTCAGTCCCCACTCCCACACACACACAAAGTCAAAAAAGAAAGCCCACCGTGGACATGTGAAAATCCCCAGCAGAGGGTGGAAGGGCTTCAAAACTCCCAGTGCCCAGGCAGCTTCCTGTACCTTAACTTCCGGTTAAGTCAGATGGCATGGGGTAGTCGCTTATTGGTGTTCCTCACTTATCTGACCATGTTGCCCACGACTTCTTCAAGCCTTCCTGTGGCTTCTCACTGCCACAAGGGCTTGAACCCCAAGCCCTGCCCAGCCCCATGTGGCTGTCCAGATCATCACAGGTCCTGTTCCCCCAGACATGGTGGCCATGGCGGGCTTGGCCTTTACCTGTCTGGAGCGCTCCTACTTCAACTCTGATCTGAGACAGCGGATCACCACGGCTCTTGGGACAGTGCGAGAGAAGATCCTGAGGGCCCAGACCCCTGAGGGCTACTTCGGGAATGTCTACAGCACCCCACTGGCACTGCAGGTGGGAAACTGACCCCGAGCCCTGGCCGTCCTTGGGGGCAGGGTCGCCTGTAATGGGGAGTGTGCTGGTCCAGGGGAGGAAGATCTGGCTCCTCCTGCTCCCTGACTCACCATCTCCGTCTTCACCCTGTCTGTCACAGTTGCTAACGTCCTCCCCCATGTCTGGGCTGGGGCTGGGCGCCGCGTGCCTTAAGGCGGGGACAGCTCTGCTGGCCATCGTGCAGGATGGAGCCTTCCAGAATGCTCTCACGATTTCCCAGCTGTTGCCTGTCTTGAACCACAAGACCTACGTGGATCTCATCTTCCCAGACTGCCAGGCACCAAGGGGTAACCAAGCTCTTTACAGTTTGCTGAATGCCAGTTGATGTCTGCATGTCCCCGTGAGGGGAGGTTCCTTGGTCAGAGCTTCTGCCATGGGTGTCCAGCCTTTTGGCTTGCCTAGGCTTCCTTGAGTGAAGAGAGTCTGTCCTGGGCTGCATATAAATATAGAACATAGTTAATGTCTACCAGTAACAAAACTTCCTTGTTAACTTTTAACTTATTAAATTATTTTACACGTACACAGAAGCCCAAGTTTAATAACTAAAGAAGAATTCATATGTGTCTGCTTAATAATGGTAAACACTGTCTTCACAGACACACACATGTGAACAGGTTGAGATACTATCATCGGTGATCGCTGGGTTTCAGTCACAGGGTCAAACAAGCACATGTGACTTCTTTTTATTTTTTTGGTACCAACTTGGGTCCTTGCGCTTGACAGGCAGGCGGCAGAACCACTGAGCTATATCCCCAGCCCTAGCACATGTAACTTTTGATACAAGCTAGGTCGGATTTCACTGACTCTGTGTGGTGGGCAGAGAAAGCAGAGTTAGACCTGCACTGAACCCTGCCTGAGACGGCATTTCTGTGGAATCCTGTGCAGTGAGTCACGCAGAGTGTCCCTAAAGGTCACATAATAATCTTGAAAGTTTGCGGTGTTTGCTAGGAGGCTTCAGTAGCTGCCGAGGACCACACGTGGCCCATGGGCCATGGGTTGGATGTACCTGCAGGTATTAATGGCATGGGGACAAAGACACCAAGTGGAGAGCTGAAGGTGGGCCTCCTTTGTGGTATCCGGAGCAGAAATGTGTGAATAATGCGTAAATGAATTAATGAATCAGTGAGGGTAGACAGACACCTTCTTGTTAACTCTGTTACACAACAAGCCTCAGTTAGTAGCATTGAATCAGGGGTCATCTAAAATAAGCTGGGTGTGGTGGTACACATCCGTGATCCCAGCACTCTGGGAGGCTGAAGGAGGAGGATCATAAACTCAAACCCAACCTGGGAGAGCTGAGGATTTAGCTCAGTGGTTCTGCCACCTGCCTCGCAAGCCCAAGGTCCAGAGTTCAATTCCTGGTACAAAAAAACAGAACAAAAAAGTAATAATAATAGTAGTGATGTTTTTGTGCTCACTTCGGCAGCACATTGGGCGCCTGAGTGGTTTAGCAACACTATGTCTTTAAAAAAAATCAGAAAGGGCTGATGATGTAAAAATGTTGCTCAGGGTGAAGACCCTGGGTTCCATCTCCAGTGCCACAAGAAAAAGAGAGAAAGACCTGAGCGTGGTGGCCTGTAGTCCCAGCACTCAGGAGGCTGAGGCAGGAGATTGCCTCAAGTTAGAGGTCAGCCTGGACTCATAATGAGTTCCAGGCTAACCTTAACTATGTAGCAAGACCCTGTCTCTAAAGAGAGAGAGAGAGAGAGAGAGAGAGAGAGAGAAGCGAAGAGAAAGGGGAGAGGAAAGAAGAGAGAAAGCAGACAAGCAGGAAAGAAAAGGAAAGCCAGGGAGGCTGAGACAGAAGAATCACCACAAGTTTGAGGCCAGCCTGGGCTACATAGTGAGTTCAAGGTCAGCCTGAACTACAAAGGGAGACCCTGGAAGGAGAGGGAGGGAGGGAGAGAGAGATTTGAAGAGGTGAATTGGATTCGCCAGTGGAAAAGGGAGATCAGAGCAGAGAGGGCGGCAAGGTCAAAGGCACAAAGAGGGAAAGACTGGAGCGACGTTTTGCAAAAGAGGGGGGGAATGAGTAGGAGAGGTAGGCAGAAGAATGGAAAAGAGCTGAAGGCCGGGGGCAGAGCTCAGTGACAGTGCTTGCCCGGCACGCTCAAGGCCCTGAGTTTGGTCCACAGCACTGCACAATAGAAAAGAAAATAATAAAATAAAATGAGGTGAGACCATCGGAAGTGACAGGAACGAATCAAGTGTTCCAGGGTACAATGCGACAGAGAAGTGGGAAGGAGACGCCAGAAGCAGAGAAAAGAGCAAGGAACCTGACCTCGGGAGGTGGAGGGACGTGGAGGCAGAGACACGAGAGAGGCTGGGGTTTCGGCTGAGCTGTCATGACGTTGACTGAGCTTAGGACCCGGGAAAGGACGGGGTCCAGACGGGCCACGGGACTCGCATCCTGCCTGCCTGTCCTCACACCCACTGCCCCTTCCTCTCTCCCTGGCACAGCCCTGTTGGTACGAGCTCCTGAGGACCTCTCATCGAGCCACACCCCAGAGGTCATCAGCGTCACGCTGAAGGTCCCCAGCATCCTGCCGCCGTACACACGGGCAGTCTCGGTTTCGGCGGGGTCCTCCTTGGAAGACGTGCTGAAGAAGGCTCAGGAGCTAGGAGGATTCACGTGAGACCCCACCTCCCTGCCCGCACTCCCTTCAACCCCACAAACCTGAAATGGGGTCACGGAGAGGACCGGGGACAGAGAACAAGAGATTCCCTTGGGAGAGGCGCTGCCCACCCCCTTCAGCACTCTCTTCTGGAGCTTGCTGTCATGGAAACGGGAACCAGGGGTCAGCATTGTCATTAAGAGAGCAGGTTCCAGGGGCAGAGCCCCTGCACCGGAACTCAGCTCCTCCGCTCTCCAGCTAGGGTTCCCAAAGCTCAGTGAGGATATCAGGTGTGCTCCCTTCCTCACGGGGTCGATAGGAGGAGTCCAGGAATGAGTGCACTTGGAGATCTTGGCAAAGGCCTTTCCTACGTTCAGGGTCCAGGTCAGGATCCAGCATGTACTGCGTACTCAGTACAGGTCAGCGAACGCCTGTGATCCAGCATTCCGGAAGCTGAGTCAGGGGGATCGCTGCAAATTCTAGGCCAGCCTGGGCTACAGAGTGAATTCAAGGCCAGCCTGAATCACAGAGTGAGACCCTGTCTCAAAAAAGAGAGAAAAAAAAGAATTTTTAGTGTCAAATAACCTCAGCCAGGAATTGTGGCAAATGCTTTTAATCCCAGTACTCTGGGAGGCTAGGGCAGGAGGATCACAAATTTGAGCCCAGCAATTTAGTAAGAGCCCCCCTGACTCAAAATAAAAACTAAGAAAAGGGCTGGGGATGTAGCTCAGTGCCAAGGCCTTGTGTTCAGTCTCCAGTACCGGAAAACAAACAAAACCTTGCTTCTCTCCATGAGATTTGACCAGTCTGAAAAAGCGAGTCTAGATCACCACTCGGTCAGGCCCATCCACGCCTAAGTGAGGTGAGTGTGATTCTCGTGAGGAAAGATTCTGCCTCAGAGAAGTTGAGTGCCTTTCATCGGGTCACCTCTTCCTTGACTTCTCTAGAAAGATGTGCCTCAGTTTGAGAGGACCCCAATTTCTGCCCCAACCAGAATTCCCAGAGAAAAGCATCCTGCAGCCCAGGAGGCACCTTGAGGTCTGGGCCAGGACTCTCAAACCAGAGATATTTGAAGACCCCTTTAAAGGACAAAATTTCTTCCAAGGATGGGCATGGAGTCATCGCAGGCCTTTAATCTCAGCACTCAGGCAGCTGAGGCAAGAGGATCCCATGCGTTCAGGGCCAGCCTGGCCTACAGAGTGAGACCTTAGGGCCAGGGATTTAGCTCAATGGTGCGGTCGCCTGCCTCACAAGCAGGAGATCCTGAGTTCGATCCCCAAAAATCCAAAAAACCAAAACAACATCATAGCGAGACCTTGTCCCAGACAAACAAATTCTCCCAGACCCCGGGTTAAGTTACTTCTTCTCCGGTTTGACTTGGATGTATACTAATAGGTTTACTAAGTATCAAGTCCTTTCTCTTTCTTTCTCTAGACAGCTGTAAATCCTAAACAGCTCTGCAAATCAAATAGAAAGAAATGTTTAAAAGCCAGTGACATTTAGCAAGGACCATCTGTGTGCGTTTAGGCTTCCATTGCCAGGCCCAGTGGTCTTAGCCTTGAGCCACCACCATTCAGGCTGCCGCTGCTCCCCAGGCTCCTCCCCGGCCCAGACCCTGCTCACTGTCAGGCCCTCTCCCCGGTTCTCTGCCGGCTCCGTCTCCCGTGGTGCACAGAGTGGCATCGCTGGGTGCCAGCGCAGTCCCTGGCAGCCACTCACACATGCCGAGCACAGCCCAGTCCAGCAGACGTGGAAACTACCCGGAGCCCACTAGTACCTGTGTTTAGGTATCGTCACCAAAAGGAAAAACATACAGTGTCGCTTTTTTTTTTTTTTTTTTTTTTTTT